GGGATCAGCGAGGACGGAGGCTCGGGCACGCCAGGCGCCACGAGAGCGACGAAGACAAACGACTGGGAAGGAGTGAACACTCCCCCGAAACACACGGGCGACGAAGGGGCCCACGACTCCGAGGAGTCCGAGGAGGCGACCTCGTCATAGAGAGGATTGGCGCCCGGGTTCGTGGGAGTGGAGGCCAGAGGATGACAGTTGGAGACAAAACGACTGGAGCTGGAGTGCGTGGAAGGGGACGGGCTCAGCGAGGACAGCCACGGAGTCGACCCCCAATTGAGACTACGACGCCCCGCCAACACGGTTGGGCTTCGAGCATTCCGACGTGTGTCGTGAGAACATATTAGCATGGACCAAGCGCACGGGGTTCAGACCAGACATGCAAGCGGGCAGGATTCCAGAAGCTTTCCCGGTCGACATGCAGGTTAAGTTCAGGACCGTGAGAATCGAGCTGAACGGGGACGACGGAGTGACCAGATTGCTACAGCATCTGGCGCTGTTGAATGGAGAGAGGCCTGGAGATAAGGAACGACTCGCCCACAACGGTGATCTCTTCGACTATTCGGGCGCCGTGAGGGTCTTGTCACCGGAAGAATCGAGGCTGGCCCGACGACGTCATCCCGACAGAATCCTCTCATCACGTATGGTCAGACGTTTCATCAAACCGCAGGAGGGAGTGGGTAGCACGCCGATTGCTAAGGGTCGCTGGTGCGTGCACGGGCACCAAGACCCTGACACCGAGACCCTCCAAGATGCCCCTACCCCCCAATCCGAGAGCATCATGTTAGTTTTGCAGCTGGTGGCGTCTCTCGGGTGGATCTTTGGCATTGCGGACGCCAAGAATGCCTTCTGTCAAAGCAACAAGGAGGATCGGCCTCGCGGGGCCATCTATGTGGAGGCCTGTTCGGGTCGGGGTTTGTCCGGGGAGTGTTTGATTGAGTTGATGGCGCCAGTGTATGGTCTTAATGACGCGCCTTTGCTCTGGCATAGGACCTTGACCGACTACCTGAGCGAGCTGGGGTTTCCCCGCTCTTTGCTTGAACCGTGCCTTTGGTTTCAGAGGTCGGGGTCCGGAATCGTCCGGAAACTTAAAGTCTTCGATCTTAATCGAGGTCGATGATCTGATTGTCGTAGGCAAGTCTGAGGTGCTTCCGGACTTGAAGGCGCGCCTGTTCGAGCGCTTTAGGTTTGGCACGTGGGAGGAGGGGAGGGCTGAATGTGCGGGCCGACAAGTGCGTCAGTTGGAGGACGGGAGGATCGTTGTCGATCAAGAAAAGTATGTGCGTGAGCAACGATCCTTCTGGACAAGTCCCGGCGCACTGCGGATGGCCAGTCGCCGCTGACCCCATCCGAGGTATCCTCTTATCGCACCACCGTCGCCCAGATGCAGTGGCTGGGCAGGGGGTCCCGGCCCGACGTTGCTGGCAGTGCCTCCCTCCTGGCCTCGGCTCTTCCACTCATGGCTAACAAGCCTGTCCGTTTCCTCCGAGCCTCCGCCTCCGATGGGAGCGCTGGGATCCCAGCGAATCACGTTGTGGCCTCTCGACCCCGTTTCGACGACTTTTGTCCCGGCGTTGGATGCCGGTGGTCTGGGCTCCGCGCGTCGTGTTGGAACCCAGAGCGGGTGGCGGATTTTTGCGGCTGACAGTGCCATCAGGAGCATCCGTCGAGCGCAGAGGCTGAAGCGAGCAGCGGCGATCACCATCGCCGCTGAGGCGCTCTCATTGTCAAGTGCGGTAGGCGGAGCGCAATGGCTCCAGATTATGGCGCGACGCCTTGTACGGAGACGTTGAGTCTCTTGACTGGACTGCTCCCCAGGGACCTTTCCTCGGTGGTGCTCCCGAGGGAGTGCCAACTCGCTGATGCATCGGCGGTGGGCATCGTCGACGCCGGGAACGCGTTTGACACTCTGTCGCGCAACAGTACGGGGTCCCGGGCCGATAGCCGTGATGCCATAGAACCCGCGGTTATCCGGGAATCTTTGTCGCGTGTCGGTTCCCAAGTTAGATGGGCCCCATCGCGGGCTCATGTCCGCTAGTCCTCTCGCGAAGATTGATCCGGCTCGAGGAAACGCGGCTCTGAATGACGTGCTGACTAGAGGTGCCCTGTGTTTGATAGATGAGGAAGGACACGTGAACGAACGAACGCTTGACGTCGCTCTCAAGGGAAGATCGCGAGGGGCGCCTCGTAGAATCATCGGTGATCTGACTAAGGTACCAGGGCCCGGGGAGACTGAGGTGAGAAGAGAGGGAGAGGAGGAGGAGGAGAGAGGCCGGCGAACAAAGGGCGGAGGAGGAGATAGAGGAAGAGGGGAAGACGAGGGCTGGTCTGCTCCCGCATGTGATCTCAAGGGAGGCTCCGGATGTATGTCCACGAAAGTTTGGCCCGCTGTTCCTCGGATGACCCAGGGCCCCCTGTGTGTTCCAGCCGTATTGGACCTTCTCCGTGGCCTTTGGCTTGTAGGCGTCCGAGCTTGCTCCGTGCTGCCCCGGTAGTCTGATAAACTATCCCTCCCTCGCCCTGCGCGACTCTCTTCCTGATCTATGTGTCCTTTGTATTGAGACGCGCGCGGAGAGGAGCGCGGTCTGCTAGACTTCTCTCCGGCCAGCTCGTTCTCGGTTGCCTGGCAGCAGTGCAACTGAAGCTGCATGCCTGCCACAGTATGCTCTGTTACAGTTGCCCAAGTCCGAGAGTCGGCCAGTTTTGATGCAGCCTTCCGCGGGGCCAGCGCGACGAGCCGAAGACCGCGGGCTGCGTTCGCATGCAGTTCAATTTTCCTTTTGGTTTAGGAGGTGGAGGAGGTCTGCGACGTGGGCGGCTCGCTGTTCGGAGATCTTCCGGAGTTCAAAGCGAGGCGCAAGAGCAGCCCCGGCAGATCGAGGCGGAGATTCAGGCCAAGATTGAGCAGGTTGAGAAAATTCCAGGCTGCAGTCCAAGGGGCAGCGAGGCAACCCAGGGAAGCCAGGTCGTCCCCGAGCAAGCGGGTCAGGGCCGACCATGGGGGCAACGCCGCAGTCGGCACAGGATCCATCGCTGGCGGTGGGCAGGAGGCAGCTGCGCCTCCTGCGGCCGTCGACGCTAGCAGCGAGCTCCGCAAGACTGGCGACGAACAGTGCATGGCAGCGGTCGCGGAGGCTGAGCGAATATCAATGCGCGTGTCGACGCTCGTCGGGCTACTCGACGTCCTAGTGTTGTTGCAGGCTCGTCTGCTCGCTCTTTCAACGGGTGCCCCGCCCGTCGCCGCCAGCGGTGCGGGCCCGGGCAACCGTTGGCACCTTCGCTAGCGACTGTACTTCCTCTGGCCATGAGGTTGGCGGCGGCTTTGCCAGCCCGTCTTCGGGCCAAGTCAATGCATCAGTTTCTGCGCGCACTTTCCAGTCATGT